ATCATCATCAGTATCATTATTATCATCATCAGCAGCATCAGTATCATCATCAGCAGCAGCAGCAGCATCAGCAGCAGCAACATAAGAATCATCATCATAAGCATCATCAGCATAACCATCACCATCATCACCATCATCATCATAATCAGCATCAGCAGTAGCAGCATCATCATCATGTCAATCACCATCATCATCATCATCATCAACAGCAGCATCATCAGCATCATCAGCAGCGACATCAGCATCACGTTGATAATCAGCATCATCATCGCCATCATCATCATCACCATCACGATCATGAGCATCAGCAGCGGCATCATCATCAACCATCATCCACGTCAGCATCAGCATCAGCATAAGCATCATCATCAGCATTATAATCATCAGCATTATCATCATAATAATCATCAGCAGCAGCAGCATCATCATCATCCTTGGACACACTCGTCCTCCTCCTCATCTTCCTCCTTCACCTCCTCCTCATCATTATCATCACTCTCCTCTTCCCTCCCTCCGTCCCTCCTCATCTGCGCCCGGCTGGCGCACGAAGGACGGTATAAGACAAGCGTCTCCGCCGTCGAGGACGCCTGCACCAGAGCGGATTGGAAGCTTAAGCCCTGGCGTTCCCCCGTAGGGTAGAAACGTTGCTGCCGCCCCAGCTCGGGCGTCCCCGACAGCGGGACAGCTTCTGTCACATCGCTTCTCGTCTGCTCATAATGGAGACGTGAAAAAGAGTGAAGGCAAATCGTAAGCCCGATTACGAGGGTACTGATTAACTGGATCCATTAAGAGGGCAAAAAGAGAGAGCCCGAGTAAGAAGGCAAATCGTAAGCCCGATTTAAAGGACCGAGCAGGATTAAGCCCAGGGGTCAGCCACATTGCAGTCGGGCTGCTGAAATGAGGAACGATACAGAAGGAACGGAGCCCCTGTTGGGCACAACGGCGCCTCCGTGCACGAGGATGGCTAGAGGCTAGGCTAGAGGCAGAGCCAGAGAAAGTCCTAAAGAATATCGAACCCCCTCCGAACCCACTGTTCCGTACTTCAACGTCTTGACTGCAAGCCAGATTCAGCGGGACTGAACCAACTTATGAGCCAGAGCAGGCGGGCCTCCGCCCGCGAATCTACCAACGCCGATGCTGAGCTGGACCTCCCCGACTTGAAGGGCCGGAGAAGCACAAGGGGGCAAGAGCGTGATGGCTGCGGGGGGGGCCAAGGCGGCGGCCAAGGCGGCGGCCGGGGCGGCGGCCGGGACGGCAGCCCAGGCGGTGGCCAGCACGAAGCGCAGTTGCCCAGCAGATGGGGCGCCCAGCTGGATTTGTTCCAGCTGGACTTACTCCAGCTGGACTTGTCGGCAAGGCGCGAGCTAGACTGTACTCTCCGTGTTCGTGCTGCTCTCCATGCCCTCCGTGCTGTCTTCGCTGCGCCTTTCGCTGCCAAACGAGATCGGACACACGACTGGTCCACGAGATCGCTGGCACGCCGCTTGGCTCGCGCCCTGCCCGGCAGCCTGTCAGGGGCGTGGAGGAGGGAGGGGGAGGAGGACGAGGACGAGGAGGAGGAGGAGGAGGAGGAGGAGGAGGAGGAGGAGGAGGGAGGAAGGAGGAGGAGGAGGAGGCGTAGGAGGAGGAGAGGAGGAGGAGGAGGAAGAGGAGGTAGGAGGAGGAGGAGAGGAGGAGGAGGAGGAGGGAGGCCCACAGCTCGAGAGAGGGGGCCTCGCAGGCCGCGGCCCGAGGCACGCGCGCGGCCCGCAGGGGGGGGGGCCCGCGGGGGGGGCGGCGTCCCGCACCAGGGGGGCGTTGATCTTCTCGATGCGGAACGTGGGCATGACCTGGGATCGGCGGCGAGCGAGTAACCAGCCTCGAACGTATCCCTATCCCTAAGATGGGCGAGCAACAAGCGAGGACAATCTTAGGGACAGGCCCTCAGAAACTGAGGGAATCCTTAAGATCGGCATCGAGGTGAGGTGATGTCAAGCATAGGGATAGGGATATGTTTCAAACTGGTAAGCGAGGGGGGGGAAAAAGAGAAGGAGAAGGCCTCCTCAGAAGGCGGCGGGACTTCTCAGAGGCCCTCGCGCCTTCTGAGAGGTTCTTGTCTGCCTTCGGAGAAGGCTCAGGAAACCTCTCAGAAGTCCGGGGGACTTCCGAGCCTTCTGAGAAGGCCCGCCCCTTCTCACTTCCCCCCCTCGCTCGCCGCCGATGGGAGGGAGGCGCGAAGGCAGCGACGACATCATCGACTCGACGACGACGACGACGACGACGACGACGACGACGACAACGACGACACCAAAGGACTGAAACTGTTACCGTGAGGCGGCGCTGAGACACGACGACGGCAACGACGGCACCGCGACGCAGGCTGTCGCTGCTGCCGTTACGCGGCGCTCAGCCAGCACCGGTGCCGAAACGACCTAGCCTGGTACCGCGGGTTCGCACCGTGTCGACCACGGCGCTGGTTCCCGATACCGTGGGAATTCGTTCATCCCTGAACGATCGGCAATTTCCGAAACGTGCGATCGTTAAACATCGACTTATTCTGGACCTCCGGCGGCGTTCAACGTGGAACGCTGGCGGCGGCGGCGACGCTGGTCGACACGACGCGAACCTGCCGTAAACCTGAGCTCGAAACGTGTTGGTTCGAACACTACTGCTAACCGCTACCCTGAGCTCGACGCTGTACGATGTGGGGAGACACCGACGGCACATGTGCTGCACGCCCGTCCTCTCGGTGAGGCTCATCGGCCATGCCCCCTGCGCGTCCTCCAGCGGCAGGCTAACGGCGTCATGCCTTCGGCGCGCGCTTCTGACACCACGTGGATCGTTCAATCTCAAACGATCGGCGGCATCTAGGATCACCAGATCGTCTCATGTTTAGGTCGGGCATGTCCCCCTACAGGCGGGTCTTGGAGGAAAAACATAAGATAGTCAAAGATGCTCAAAATAGTCCAGAAATCAATAATGTTTAAAAATTGTCCCCATGTTATTGTTGGCTTATTATTTGCATAGTCCTCCTGTAGGGGGACAGGCCCGACTTAAATCTAGGATCAGCAGATCGTCCCATGTTGACCCCGAGTGCGTTAGCAGGCCAGACCGTTGCAGATGGCTCGCGATCGGGTCACCGGCGGCGCTCAACATCGAATACCCGCGGCGGGGCCGCTGCCGTATCGGCACGGCGCGAGGCTACCGCAATGAGCCTCCCTTCTTTTGTTTGCAATCCGCATTACCTCCAACCTCCTCCCCCCCTCCGCACATCCCTCCTTCCAGCCTGCCTCCTTCCCTTTCCTCCCTCACCCTTCCTCCCTACTCGGCCTCTCCTCCTCCCCATTCCTCCTCCTCTCCCTCTCGGCCCCTTCCTCTCCTCCTCCTCCTCCTTCCTCCTCCTCCTGCTCCTCCTCCTTCCTCCTCCCCTCCTCCTCCGCCTCCTCCTCCTCCTCCTCCTCCCTCCTCCTCTCCTCCTCCTCCTCGCTCCTCTCCTCCTCCTCCACCTCCTCCTCCTCCTCCTCCTTCTCCTCTTTCCCTCCTCCAACTCCCTCATTCTCCTCCTCCTCCTCCTCCTCCTCCTCCCCTCCTCCTCCTCCTCCCCCCCCTACTCCTCCTCCTACTCCTGTTCCCTACTCTCCTCCGCTCTCATCATCATCTCATCATCCTATCTCCTCCCCTCTCCTCCTAACCCTCACTCCTCCTCCTCCTCATTAGCAACTTTCCTACCAACTCCTCTCTCCACCTCCTCCTTCTTTCCCCTCTTCCTCCTCCTCCTCCTCCTCCTCCTCCTCCTCCTCCTCCTCCTCCTTGTCATCCTCCTCCGCCTCCTCACCCCTCTCCTCTTCCTGCCCTCCATCGGCCCACAACGGTCTGCAAACCTTCTCCCACCGTTACGCACGGAACCTGCGACTGAGCAGCTCCCGTCCTAACATGAGTCGGAGCGTCCTGGATCCCACCAGCCCTTCGGGTTAAGGTGGCCGAACGACTTCTTCAAAAAACCCTCTTCCAACAAAATCCTCTGCCAAAAGCCCTCTTCCAGAAAACCAGCCAGCCTCTTCTAAAACCCTTCTTCCATTCGGGAAGGGGTACCATCCTCCTGCCCTCCCTTCGGTTTTCTGGTGTGGACCGCGATGTGTTGAGGGTCCGCTTCGTCCAAGATGGCTCCAAGGGGGCCCCCGATGCCCGAAGATGGCGTCCGAAGCAGCTGAAGATTGCCGAAGATGGCTCGAGATAGCGTCCGAAAATAACTCCAAGAGGCCGAACGAGGGCCACAAGACGGATGTAAGTTCGCTCGGAGCTCCCACACGACCCCCAAGAAGCCCAAATCATTCAGGAACCTACAGTACATCAATGGTGTGCCATCTCACCTTTAAGCTTCCGATGTGCTGTGGGGGCCTGAAGATGGCCCAAAAATGGCCAAGAGAGGCCCAGGAGGTCCCCTCGGCAGCCCCAAGAGCGCCCAGGATTGGCCCAAGAGCGCCCCAGGAGCGCCCCAAGAGGCGATGTTGACGGCTAAGAGGGGGGGGGAATCGGGGACCTCCGCCCCTGCATAAGCATCGTCGTCGTCGTCGTCGGCCTTGTTGTCGCCCCCTCCTTTTCGTTTTCCCATCCTTGTCACCCTTCTGGATCTGGGCGGGTGGCAGATGATTCTAGATCGAAGAAGGGAAACGGCATACACATGCGCTTTCCCCGCGCAGATCTCTTGGACCGGCGATGGGCCCCTCTGGCAGCGCCTCTAGCGCCGCCCCTGGCGCGCTCCGCGCGGCAGGGAGGGGGGGTCCAGCGCCAGGAGAAGCCCGCGCGGGGCTCCGGAAGCGCATGGGCATGCCGCTGTCCTGCTTCGATCTGGAACCGTCCCCCCCCCCGCCCATAGCCAGAAGGGCGGCAGGGACGGTGACCACGACCAGGAGGGGGCGACGACGACGACGACGACGACGACGACGACGACGACAAAGGCGACGACAAAGGCGACGGCGGCGACGACCTGGACGGGGACAGCGGCTGCGAGGACGATGGCGACGGAGACGACGGCGTCGACGACAAAGTGCGACAGGACCGGGAGAGGGGCAGGGGGGGAAACGAGGAATCCGACCAGCCCTCTGATCGCGTTAGAAGGCAACTCCCGGGAGGTCTTCGCAGGAACGGCCGGTGAATGTCTAGTCAGGTTTAGGGGCTAGTAAGGCCGATCAGCTAAGGCCAGGTGAAGCCCAGGATTTAGCTGGAAAGAAAGGGCCAAGCTGGATTACCAGGATGATGCCGGACTCGGCCACATGAGGCCAGGTTCGACCACGGATATACAAGCGCGGATGCTGAATTTAACCTCCCAAGAGTTGCATCCTGAGCCCGCAAGGATGGGTAGCCTAGCAGGTCGGCTCTGCCACTCCTCCCTCTTCCCCTTCGGAGGGGGGTCTGCAGCTGCTCCTCCTTACTCTACGGACACCACCCCCCCGGTCGAGTGCCCGGCGGACTGGAACCACACGTTCCCCCCAATCACTCGGGAGGAAGAAGTAGCAACGACACGCCGCCGTCTGCGGGCCCGTTGGCGTGTCGCTCCGCTGCTGGTGCCCGAGCATGTTGCGTGCCTCCACCACGTCATGGTGGTGGAATCCCCACGGCGGCGTGTCACTGATACTGCTTTTGCTGCCCCAACCACCCACCCCACCACACACACACACACACACATCCACACACACACACACGCACGCACTGGCATCCAACGAGTCGGAGTTACAGCTTGCTTGCAAAATGGCCCCCAATGGGTATCGTTTAACCGATCCCCATCCCCAGCGGCGTGGCCTGGGCCCCGCTCCCCGATTTACCCCTCTGGATGGGGATATAGGTCGTTCCCTTCGGGTTTCGAGGGGTGTATCCCTAACTGGGGGGGGTAACTTTGTGGGGGTCTCGAAAGGGATGGGGATGGGGATAGGGATTGGTGAAACGATACCGACCCCAGAGGTTTGGAATCTCTCCCGGGGGCCGGGCTTTGAAAATTCCATCCTGAATCGACTGTTCGACCGCCCTGGGGGCCCCCGGAAGCCGAAAACTGCAGAAGAAATGCCGCTGCGCATGTTCCCGTAGCGCGGCGAATTCGGGGCACCCACCTGCCACGCAAAGCACGTGTTGCAGCTAAACTTGACCGAGTGCGGGCACATAATTATCATGTTGGCTCTACTCCTGAAAGGAATGGCCGTGTGCGATGACACTATCCGATACGCGGTGGCACACGATCTCCGAACGACATACCAAAACTGCCAAAAGATTCAGGGTGCACACGCCGTACACCATACTGATCACCGTCACTGAGCATTGCCGGTTGCAGGGAGCGTACGGGCGCCATACCTGCCGACCGTGACGCCACGCGCACTGACACGAGTAGCGCGCTCTCGGCGCACCGCTCACAAGGCGTAGCTGGCGCGCCTGAGCCTGGCATGTGCTCTGGGCCCCGATGGTTGTCCAGAGGATGGTGGCCACCGCCTAGTCAGCGTGCTACCATGAGGAACGACAACGAAGCAACGAGAGGGCCCTTCCACCACGGCAGGCCTTGGCCACGAGCAGCTTCCCCGATTTAGCCACGGGAGCCCCCCCGCACGAGGCCGAAGAGGCCTCAGCGCCCCGACTGCATGCTGAACATCAGGGCGCTGCAGGTGGGGCGGCGCCAGTGGACAAGCCCACAAGAAGCAGACAAAACCTTCCCGGAAGCGCGGCATGGTGGTGATGGAGGCGACGCCAGCCACTCCCGTCGTCAAGGCTGCCGACGCGAAGGCCACCCCCTCAAAAAAACAATAGCTTTCTAATGATCCATTCCGCTCCAAAAAAGAATCGTCTGAGGGCGCGTCTGCCCGCGGAGGGATCCGGGCCGTTCCGCACATCTGCTAAGGCTCCCCACTTCGCGCTCCGCGCTCCGCGGAGCGCGAGAGCGCAAATGATTCCGCGCTCTCGCGCCGCCCCCCCAAAGGAAGAAAAGGAGGAGGACGAGGAGGAGGGGGAGGAGAAGGAACGAGGACAGGCGAAGCGCGAGGCGCGAACCACTTCGCGCCCTCGTGGGGAGCCCTTTTGGCACCTGGGTCGGGGACTGCCGCCGGCTGCCGCCGAGGCCCGAGGCCGGAACACAGAGGGGGGGCCGGGGGGAGGCAGGGCGGGAGAGCGCGGGCGAGTCTCCGGGGCCACGCCTGCCCCGCCCCCCGCGGAGTCTGGAGGCGGGGCGCGAGCGGCCAGGGGTCAGGTCGGGCATGTCCCCCTGCAGGCGGAGCTGGGGCGACAAATGAAAAAAAATCGCATAAAGATACTCGACAAGTGTCAAACCTACTCAATAAAGAATCGTCCCGAGGCTATTTTTCTTACTATCTTTGAATTGGCCTCCCGTAGAGGGACAGGCCCGACGTAAGGCTAGGGCGTCCAAGGTGGTCCACGATAGCTGGGTTAGGAGGCAACTCCTGAAGGGTCTTCGCAAAAACGATGAAGGGCTCTGAAGCCCGATACAGACAAAAGTAGGGAGCTCGGAAGGGTCCGGTGATCTGTTCCTGTGGAAAAAAAAACCTAGCGCGGCAGACGACAAAGCACCGAAGGGGCGAACGCCACGCGCTGAGAGACGGAGCGTCAACCCGCTGGGGCACAGCCGCCAGGCGAGCCGAGGAGCCGTCTGGCGCGCCACCAGGCGAAGCTACCTGGCGACGAGCAACTTTGGTGCACTCGGGTTCAATCGGAAAAACACGAGGGTACGCCAGAACAGCCATAAGGCACCCTTTGGTGCACACCCCAGAAACCCCCAACAAAAAGCAAGCAAAACGAGTATACCAAAAAACAAAGAAAAAACTCTACCATCCCTCAGACTCTGTTATATGGCTGCCCTCTCGCAGCGGCGCCGGCGCCGACCCTCAATCGCGCCATTGTCATTGATTATTCGCCCGCCTCCCCCATGCCCATCAGCACCCGCCGCCGTCGAGGAAAAAAAATGCTTTGGGGCGAAACACATTACTGTACTGATCCATGCCCCCGAAAAAAGGAGGCCATGAAGCCGGATCCGCCCAAATGGAGCCCAGGGTTGGTGTGAACCGAGCGGAAGCAGGCGAACTGAACGCGACGCTGGCGGATTACGCCTGCCTTCGACCACGGATCTACCAGCGCCGATGCTGAATGAAACCTCCGAGAAGTTCCACCCTGAAGAAACGTTCACACCCTCGCACCTCCCCTAGGAAGCAACTACTGGGAGGTTTCGTCGGAAAGATTGAGGATTACGCTAAGCCCCAATTGGGAGCTGTTACGCCGGAGTTGGCCTCGGATTACGCGAAATTAAGCCAGATTAAGCGGGCTTAAGCGGGATCAAGCGGGATTAAGCGGGATTGAGCCGGATTAAGCCGGATTTCGGGCCAGGGCAAAATCAGAATTTGACCTCCCAGGAGTGGCACCCGCAGCTCCCCCGCACTGCGGCTGGGCGGAGGGCCCCGCTGATGGACCCCGTCCACTTGGAGGCCGGCGGCTGGGGGGCGGGCGGGCCGCGGCTGCAGGCGGCTCGCGGAGGGCGCGGCGTCGGCGGCAGAGAGGACGACGTCCGAGGGCAGGATGGAGGGGGGGGAGGAGGAGGAGGAGGAGGAGGAGGAGGAGGAAGGAGGAGGGAGGAGGAGGAGGAGGAGGAGGAGGAGGAGGAGGAGGAGGAGGAGAGGGAGGAGGAGGAGGGAAGGATGAGGATGGGAGGAGGAGGAGGAGGAGGAGGAGGAGGGGAGGGGAGGAGGAGGAGGGAGGAGGAGGAGGAGGAGGAGAGGAGGAGGAGGAGGAGGAGGAGGGGAGGAGGAGGCGAGGAGGAGGAGGAGAAGGAAGGAGGGAGGAGGAGGAGGAGGAGGGAGGAGGAGGAGGAGGAGGAGGAGGAGGAGGAGGAGGAGGAGGGAGGGAGGAGGAGGAGGAGGAGGAAGGAGAGGAGGGGGGGAGGAGGAGGAGGAGGGAGGAGGAGGAGGAGAGGAGGAGGAGGGAGGAGGAGGAGTGAGGAGGAGGAGGAGGAGGCGGAGGAGGAGGAGGAGGAGGAGGAGGAGGAGGAGGAGGGGGAAGGGGGAGGGGGGGGGAGGGGGAGGGGGAGGAGGAGGAGGAGGAGGAGGAGGAGGAGGAGGAGGAGGAGGAGAGGAGGAGGAGGAGGAGGAGGAGGAGGAGGAGGAGGAGGAGGAGGAGGAGGAGGAGGAGAGGAGGGAGGAGGAGGAGGGAGAGAGGGGGAGGGGGAGGGGGAGGGGGAGGGGAGGGGGAGGGGGAGGGGGGAGGAGGAGGAGGAGGAGGAGGAGGAGGAGGAGGAGGAGGAGGAGGAGGAGGAGGAGGAGGAGGAGGAGGAGGAGGAGGAGGAGGAGGGAGGAGGAGGGAGGGAGGAGGGAGGAGGAGGAACCATTGCAAACCCAAGACTCATCGACGATGTTGGAATAAACTTCCCCCCCAGCTCCCACCAGGCCCCTACAAGGATTCATTCCCACTGAAGGAAGTGCACCGTTGGGAGACCATTTGAAGATCCTAAAGCGTGAACAATACTCGCGGGACTTCACGGCCACGAGTGAAATTGACTGTTGCGCCTCAACGACCCTGAACCGTGCCAGAACACCATTCCTGGGACTTCAGCACAACGAATCCGCATAAACGCTGCGTCCTGGCAACCCCGAACCGTTACAGGACACCCACTGTGGCAAATGAACCATTGGAATCCGTGAAACCTTTTGTAAATGATTAAAACGAATGCGCGCCGCGCTTAGGCGAAAGCCACAATTTGATAATGGCACACTCTCGAACCGCTAAACTCTGGCACATCATTAAGAAGAGTGCGCGCGGCGCTGAGGAGAGAGCCACATGTTGAAAACCACCCGCCCTTAATCCGTGAAGCTCTTGCACATGAGTAAAACGAATGCACGCAGCGCTAAGCGAGAGCCACCACCCGCCCTCAATCCATGAAGCCCTTGCACATGCTTAGGACGAATGCGCGCAGCGCCAAAAACGGAGCCACACTTTGAAAACGGCCCGCCCTCGATCCGCAAAACTGCTGCAAAGTTTTGAAACGAATGTGCGCGGCGCCAAAGCGGAAGCCACATGCTGAAAGCCGCCCTCCCTCCATCCGCGAAACTCCTTGCCGTTTTCAGAAGCGAGTGTGCGCGGCGCAAGAGCGAGAGCCACATTCTGGAGACCGCCCGCGCTTCATCGGTAAAGCTACTTCAGGATCATGAAGGGTAAAGAAGGCTCGTTCGAAACGCCGGGCCCGCCCTTTCGACCAGCCTCGGGGTGCGACAGGGAGAATGTATCTCCCCGGCACCTTGAGCCCTGGAGTGCTCCTCTCTGGACCCCAGAAGCCCTCTCTCTGGAGCCCCAAAGCCCCTTTTCCTGGGCCCCCAGAGCTCCTCTTTCTCTCTCGGCCCCCAGAGCCCCTCGTTCTGGGACACCAGAACCTCCTCTCTCTCTATGTATATGTCTATGCTTTGTTCTCTCTCTCTCTCTCTCTCTCTCTCTCTGGTTCCCCAGAGCCCCTCCCTCTGGAAGCCCAAGGCTCCTCCCCCTGCTCAAGTACACCAGAGGCTCTCTCCCTCTCCCTCTCCCTCTCTCTATCTCTCTCTCTCTCTCTATCTCTCTCTCTCTCTCTCTCTTGCTACATATGCGTATGTTCGTCTCTCTCTCTCTCTCTCTCTTTCTATATATCCCTCTCTCTCTCTTTCTCTCTCTCTCCTATGGTTCTCTATCTCTCCCTCTCTCTCCCTCTCTTTCTCTTTTCTCGCTCTCTACTTCTCTCTCTCTCTCTTTCTCTGTCGCCTTCTTTATGTATCCCTCTGCTTTCTATCTCTCGCTCTCTCTCTCACACTCTCTCTCTCTCTCTCTCTTTCCCTCTCTCTCTCTCTACATAGTGTGTATATATATGTACATACATATACATATGGATTGCTATATATCGCTGCTTGTGTGTCTCTCTCTATATATATATACACACCTATATAGATCGGTTAATATTGACCTGCCTCCATATCTCTCTCTCTCTCTCTCGGTCGGTTTGTGTTGTCCCTTTCTCTCTCTCTCTCTCTCTCTCTCTCTCTTTTCTCTCTCTCTCTCTCTCTGACCCTCTGCGCACCGCTTGCGCGACGTGAAGGGCGCGGGCCCTCGACGCCACGCGCTCCTTCGGGGCCGAGCGCGGGGCTCTCTCTCTCTCTCTCTATTATCACTCTCTCTCTCTCTCTGTTTCTCTCTCTCTCTCTCTCTATCTCTATCTCTTTATATATAACTATAATATCACACACACACCCTCTCTCTCTCTCTCTGTGTCATTATGTATGTCTCTATGCTTCTCTCTCTCTCTCTCTCTCTTGGTTTCTCTTCCTCTCTTTCTTTCTTTCTCTCTCTCTCTCTCTATCGCTCTTTCTCTCTCTCTCTCTCTCTCTTTCTCTCTGATGCCACCGAGCCTATATTCCCTCAGACCCCAGAGACCCTGCCCAAGATGGTCCAAAATGATCTCCAGCACGCTTCCAACAGGCCCCTAGACCGCTCCAACGCGGCCCGAAGTGACCACGGAGTTTCCCGGGGACGTCCCAACGAGGCAGACGAGTTTCAAACAACTTTGCGGGTAAATGTTTGAGGGCTCCGCGCGCTTTCACTTCCGATGGGTTCTCGGGGCCTCAAAAACTCGCCGAACGCGTTCCACTATTCGCAAAGTGTTTACTCGCAAACGTCCGAAAAACACCTGTCTGCTTTGATGTTGTTTATCGTAGATCCCCAGCGGGGGATCCAGGCCATTTGCGAGTGGCTACTTTGCGAGTAGTGGAACGCGCTCGTCGAATGATGGTCCCAAAGCGTCCCGGCATGGCCCCTAGAGACGTCCAGGAAGGTCCCAATACGGCACCGAGAGCGCCCCCAGAACGCCCCCAAGGAGGGCCCCAGGAGGCGACGCAGGAAGGCCCCGAAGGGGAGGACTGTAGCCCACCGCCCCCCGTCCTCCATGCGCCGCTGGGGGTCCCAAGAAGGCCCTAAGAGAACCCCAAACAAGGCCCACGAGGTCTTCGAAATAGCAACAAGAGAAGCCCACGGCCCACGATGGCCCCACAAGGCTCCCAACACGCTCCCAGAACGAAAGCTGTCGTCGTCGTCGTCGATACCGCCGCCGCCGCCGCAGCCACCTGCTTCGTCGTCCCCATATTAATGTTCTTGCTGCCCCTCGCCCCCACCTCCTCGTCCATCTCCTTTTCGCATTCCTCCGTCACTATCTCTTTCTGTTTCTCCTCCGCTTCCTAGTCCGCCTTCCTTCCCTGCCTAGAATTAACCGACGAACGGCTACCCACATATTTGTTGCACTGCGTGCCTTCACAATTCCATGATCAAGGCAATTCGCCAGGGAATCATTTCTGGATGGGCTGGCGGGGATACGCACGTCAAGGATTTCCCTGCACGTCATCACGTGTCCCCCCATCCCACTCGGCACTGTCGTGGTCACTGCCACATGCGCATACAAGCATCGCATCATCCCAACTCCCCTTCCCACCTTTACCCCCCCCTTTCTACATCATTCCCTTCCTGGTCCTCATTGTCGCGCACTGTTGCGGCCCCCATTCCCCTCCCTCCTCGCCTCGCCCACCCCCCCCTCATCCTCATCCCGCGGCGGGGTCGGGGGACGAAAAGGGGGGCGCCAGAAGTCGCGCCCCTGTCCTCCTGTGTGTCAGGTCCTCCTTTTGAACCCGCGGCGCCGCGCGCCTCCTCCTCCTCCTCCTCCTCCTCCTCCTCCTCCTCCTCCTCCTCCTCCTCCTGCTCCTCCTCCTCTTCCCGCCTCCTTCCCCTCCTCCTCCTGCTCCTCTTCCCTTCCCCCCCTCCCCCCTGGCCAATTTCGGCGGTGGACAAACCTCCCTTTAGCAAACCTCCCCTTAGAGAAAACGGTCTGGGACCGAAACCGACGGATCTGGACCCACAAAAATGACGGCCGCGACGCCCTCTCGCGAACCGAAAACGGCCAATTCCTGAATCGATGGGTCAGGGTAGGAGGTCTATCCACCTCCGACACTTTCGGCGCGCCCCATCGCGCGCTTCCTCCCCCCAAATGGAAGTGCGCCTCCGGTCCCGGCCGGGGTTTCCACCTTCCTCACCCCGCCAACGTCAGCGCGCCCCTCACGTGTTTCCTCTCCCCGCAGGGAGCTCGGGACGGCCCCGACGGAGGCACCCGAATAAGAACGTTCCCGCACCCACTTCGGCACGCCGCTCCCGCGCTCCATGCCGCGGGGAAGGGGCTGCCTGCACGGCAATTTCGGCACCCCCTGCAACAGTTCCTGCCCCCGCGCGGAAATGGGGAAGCCTCGGCGCAAAACCGCACGCGCGTACGCATCGCTGGATAAACCGAAGACATGGTTACGGGCTATAACACCAAAGTCTCCCCAGGTGCCAGCCCACAACCAGACTTCTATACGCGCAAGCCCGCTCAATGTGACAAGCGAACGACCGCCGCCTTCAGCCACGCGAGCAACTCCAATAGAAGGAAAACCAATGAAACATTCAACATCAAACGCATCGTCCCATCTGCAGGAAAATCCAACAAACACAGGCACAAGTTGTTCTACCCCTCGCAGTGCTGGCGGGAAAACAAAGCAGCAGAGGATTTTGCTGCAATGCCAGACAACGCGGGCGTTAACATGTGCACTTCCACCTTACACTGTCAGCTCAGCAGGGAGCTACGCGCGGCACCCAGAAAACGGCGTGATACACTCGCGCGCAACTGCTCCATTCGCGCTCGGACATCTGGCGGGCACCCCGCGCGAGGGCGGGTCAACCAGCAGTCGTTCGGCAACCCCGACTCTATAGAATCCGATACAGACCCGACAGAAACCGTATAGGCTGGTACACAGCTTCGACACGGACCCAGCACGATATATAGAGAGCCGGCGCGAACTGCATAGGACCCTGTACAGATCCGACGTGGGCTGTATAGGACCCTGTACAGAGCCGATACGGACTGTAAAGGCTGGTGTGACAGGTGTGCAGATCCGATACGGACTATACAGGATCCTATGCAGAGCCGATACGGATTGTAAAAGCCCGCATACATACCCGATATGGGATGTGCAGGGTTCCACACAAAACTGATAAGGACTCGATGGGATCCTACACAAAGCCGATATGGACCCGATCGGATGCGATACAAAACCGAAACACAACGCATGGGATCCCATACATATCCGGTACGGAATGTATGGGATCCTGTACATATTCGATACAAACGGCATAAGACCCAATACAGATCCGATACGGAATGTACAAGGTCCTGTACATATCTGGTACGGCTTGAATCGGATAGCACAAACGGGCAGACCGTCCTGAACAAAAACCGAACCCCTTTTGATGCCCGCTGCGACCGCCGCCAGGAGCGCCAAAACAGGCCTGGTTTATCGCTTCGGAGTTGGATGTTGTGGAACGAAGCCCGAGGAGGCGAGTTACTGAAGCGTGCGTCCTGCACGAATCAGCGAGGAGGTCTCGAGCGATAGCGCGATTCCCAAGTGAATCGCAAGAAACGCCAAAGCGAGGGCGCGATTCCTAAGCGTCGAGGGCGCGGCGTCTGAATAAATTGGGAGGAATTCCCACGCGAGAGCGCGATTCCTGCTTACATTGTGAGGAGGTCCCGCGCGAGAGCGAGATTTGGGAATACACTGTGAAGAAATATGAAGCGGGAGCCGCAATTGTTGTAGACCGGGGGCCAGGGACCCAGTTTGGTGACCCTCGATTTTCCTTGTAAAAAAACAGGGTGCGCGCCCTGGAAGGAGCACGTAAATTGAAAAAGAAATGGTCTCTATTAAGATGGCAACAGCAGCAACAACCAGCACCACCATCACCACCATCATCAACACCACAACAAACAACAACAGCAACATAACAACAACAACAACAACAACAACAACAACAACAACAACAACAACAACAACAGCAACAGCAACAACAACAACAACAACAACAACAACAGCAGCAACAACAACAACAACAACAACAACAACAATCATTTTACCCGAACGCGTGGTGTTCTCCCCAGTGCCAGGGTTTTCATACGACACCAGGCAATACCCCCACTTCGTGGGGGGCATTACAAGCTCTACCAAATATCCAAACGACTCTTCGCGACCACCCAAACCCAGCTTCCCGCCCTATGACGTTGGGACACTTCACTTCGTGGCGTGCGGACGACCGTGGCTACTACACTGGCGTGGGGCCCCGCGGCCGACGAGATTTCGGCGTGCGCGCGCGAAGAAAAAACGAATGTGTCCCGCATGGTATTATTTGACAGGGATGATGGCCCTGGCAGGTGCGCAACCGTTGTCGCAGAAGTTCGAAAAAGTTGCTCGCAAAAGCCCGTTTGACAGAAATGTTTAAAAAGTGTTGGGTTTCCTACGAATCCGCAAGAGCGCGCGGGATGAGATTTTGACATTTTTTTGTTGAAAAACCATTGGTTTTTTGATGTTTTTATGTTAAAATCGCTCCGAACACTAAGCTTTTGGAAGGATTTCGTCTTGCGCGCGCGAATGTCCACTTTACCTTATTTTTTGCAAGGGATTCTTGAAATTTGATTATATTAGAACAAGAAATGTCATTTTATAGTGTTTTTTGCAAGGGAAAACGGATTACAACAAAACAACCGGATCTTGATCACACTCGAATTACCTGAGGCTTCCTCACGAAAATGATGAAAACGTGGCTGCGGCCTAGGCGCGGCGGGGGGGGCGCGCACCAGGGGGCCCAACAATAATTATTCTTTAGAATTAATAATGTTCAACAACAACAACAACAACCACAACAACAACAAACATCATGTTAAGACTGTTCGCTCTTACATGCTCGCGGGCCATTAACACGTATATCCTAAACCCTCGATAACCACCATCTTCGTCTTTGATCGTACCCCCTTGGGGGGGCATATCTTTGATACCTGCAACGCGTATTTCGTGCAGCCCATAAGGCAGGGGGAGAGACGACGGCTGAAAGGAAGGGACAAGGGCGAGGGAGGAGGATGAAGCACGAAAGACAGTAGCAGGAGGGGGGCTAGGAGCAGAAACACGTGGCAGAACCAGACGAGCACGGCCTGGTGACCTCTCGCTTTCGCTTGTGATAAGCCTGGCGCGAGCCCTCGGAGAAGCACTTGAATTGAAAAAACAATGTGCCCCAGAGGGGGGATCAACAGTAGTTTTCCATTAGGAATGAGATATCACCATCATCAACAACAACATCAACATCATCATAATCATCATCATCATCATCACCACCACCCTCATCATCATCATCATCATCATCATCATCATCATCATCATCATCATCATCATCATCATCATCATCCTCATCCTCATCCTCATCCTCATCTTCATCTTTATCCTCATCCTCATCCTCATCATCCTCATCATCATCATCAGCCTTATCATCATCATAATCAGCACCATCATCACCACCACCACCACCATCATCACCATCAACATATCATCATCAGAATCAGCACCATCATCATCACCACCATCAGCATCAGCATCAGCATCAGCATCAGCATCATCATCATCATCATCATCATCATCATCATCATCATCATCATCACCATCAGCATCATCCCCTCCTTCCCACCACGGCGGGGAGAGGCGCCACGGCCACGCCGCCGCCCTCGCCGGCGTGCAGCGGCTCGAAGTCGACCAGCGGTGCGTCGCTCCAGCGGGCGCCCAGGTTCGCGCGAACCCTGCCGCCAGAAGAGCCAGACGACCACGACGACGACGACGACGACGACGACGACGACGACCACGACCACGACCTCGACCACGACGACAACGACGACGACACTGACGACGACGAAAACGACGACGAAAACAACGACGAAAACGACACCGACGACGACGACGACGACGATAACATTTTTTTATTTGGACTCGGCTTGACCGCAAAGGCCGCCTCCCCGCACATCTCTTCAGTCCCTGCCGATGGAGCCTCACTCAATGCAGATACCTGTAGCACACATTACGTCTGAAAATTGGGATTCCGAGCTGAGAGAGATCGCCTGTCCCCTGCAGAGCGGCGAACACAGCAAGTGCTAGCCGAAGCCCCGACACTTCGGCGGAAAATGAATCTGTTGCCTGGGGTTCCCACGTCCCCCCGAAAGCCGCGACCTCCCAGTCGCCGCTCCCCTGGGAGACCCGGAGAGTGAAACCGCCCGCGCTCCGCCCGCACCCGCGCCACCCCCCGTCCGAGTGGGCCAAACAATTGTGAGGCGCAGCTAACAACTCATCAATGCGAGGGTGGAGGCATAAGAAACCTCGGCCTGCATCTAAAACTGCATTACACAAACGATCAGCCTCTTGATTCTGGTGGCGGGGCCGCCACAAAACGGGAGCTTCGATCGGATCCGGAGGTCTCCACCCATCGGTCACGCTCTGGAGCAAACAGTCAGCTAGAGGTGAAAGTTGTGAGAGCCGTTCCCATTGGACGAACGACGAGCCACTGAGGGCTTGCGCTAAAGCTTCGTTATCGACAACAAATCTGAAAAAATGAGTGGAGGAGGAAGGATCGGGCCAGGACGAATCGGAGGAAAGGAGGGGAGGAATGAGATCAAAGAACAAGCGGCCCTCAGAAACGAAGAAAGTGTCATCCCCGAAGTCCCAGTCGCCGGTGCCCGCCCCTCCCGTCGTAACGCCTGCTCGCTGCTCCGTGTCGTCGCGAAGAAGCCGTCGTCGTTTGCAATGTCGCCCTGCCTCCACCTTCCCCTCCTCCGCCTCCCCCTCGTCCTCCGACTGCTTGCGTTTAGCGTGGGTCCCCCGTGGATCGCCCCGACGAGCCGCAGCAAGTTTACGAACCTGGTCACGATGGACGGACACATCTCTATTCCAACCAGGCAGGTGCCATTTGATGCAGATGCGATCGATGAAGGACCATTCCTGGTTCTTCCACTCCCCGGCGCCATTCATCACCTTGATTTCCCAATCAGGGACGGCTGCGTCCCAGAAGTCCTCTGGCTGCGGTGCAGGGGGGCCTGGCCGTCGATACCGCCACTCCCCTGCGTCATCGCGGCGCAGACTGGGGGTCCAGGAAGCGCACGCCTGTGCCGTAACCCTGCGGTCGCCTCTACGGTATAGAGACAACTGGCGAATGGGGAATTCTGGTGTGCCAGACTTGTCGGAACCCCAACTCCAATGCATGGACGCATACCTCCATCGATGAAGACGCTGGAGCCATTTATGGTGAACTTGAGGTATTGCCCAGAATGCAAAGCGGCCTTCGAGAAGACGCGCTGTGCGGTAGTTGTAGCCTTGCAGACCCTCCCCTGGCAGAAACTTCAATTTCAAAGCCCGTCGTAGATGGTTGTCTTCCCAGGCACGCGCCTTCTGCAGACGGTCTTGCGTGGGTACCCAAGACGCGCAATCGTAGAGCAATGAGGTGGTGGGCCCTCTCGAGAATGCCCGGACTTTCCCTTCCCAACTGGCGTTGGGATTATGAAGGCGTCGATGGATTTTTCCAACGTTCCCCTCCGCCTTCAGAAACCGATGATCCCAGGAAGCCACTGTATCCCCCGCCCTGTTCAGCATGGTGCCGAGTAGGACGGCTTCGTCCACAACTGGAAACTGAAGAACTCCCTGTCCGTGCGTCGGTACTTCCACGACGGGCGGCTGCTGATCGACTCCCATCCCGCAGAGCACTACACTTTCCTTCATCTTGATGCGGAAGCCGTTCCTGTGCAGAGCGCTGGCCGTGTCGGAAATCATCGTTTGGAGCTGCTCCGTGGTCCTTGCACACAGTATCAAATTGTCCGCCCATACTAGCAAATTCAAGCAGAGGTCGTCGATGGAAGCCCCCAGGCCGGTCGCTTCCCACTGCGTGACAACGGGGCCGAATATGTAAGTCAGAAGGCAATTGAAGAGCATGGGCGTCTCGACTCCCCCCTGTCGCCCGCCTTTGAGATAGGGGAACCTGCCACTAGCCCCGACTCCTGATATGTACATGTCACCCTCGAGACCTGATAGCTCCCTCAAGATCGCCACCACCAGGGACGCCGGAATGCTCATTGATAGCAATGCATCTGAGACCAACTGATGCAACATATTGTCGAACGCAAACTCAATGTCCAGGAACGCGAAAACATACGGGTGTTTCTTGAACTTGTTAGAGATGGCTAAAACCCTCCTGACGATGTCCACCAGGTGCAACGTGGAAACCCCTGGAGTAAAACCAAATATCCTGACTCTGGTTTGCTGCGTGAAACGTCGAATCGCGTACCCCACAGATTTTAAATACCATTTCTGCATATTCGGGGACTTGGCGACGCACCTCCAGTCGGAAAAAGCTTGGGGCCTAAGCTGCTTGGGCAAACCAGTGAGGTCTATGAGCTTCCAGAACTCCCCGTGGCCCTTCCCCGTGACGAAATAGCTGGCGAACTTAATGAACAACTCTACGACGACAAGGAAAGGCAACATCTTAAGCATTTCGCCTACGACCCCGTCCCTGGCAGGCGCTGTGCCGGTGGACATGGCACCCCGGGCGGCGAGGAATTCCATGAAGGTGAAGCGAGTGGGCCCACAACGACGTCTGATGTGGTTATCCTGAGCTTCATTGATTGCAATCGCCTCTAAACGCATCGTTCGTAAATCCTGAGCTGCGTCGCTATTGCCAGCATCGCAATAGCGGTCAGCACCAAAATGACGTAGCAAATCTGGCCAACGGGAATGGTCTGCGCAGAAGTCTCCAAATGAGGGCTGGTGGGCAACAGGCACGGGAATCCGAGGAGGGAGCCGGGTGGACATCCCCCCCTGCCCTGAGTTCACGAGGGCGAGATCCTGGTCACCCCGTTGCCGTCTGCGTCTCTTGCTAATCTGATTGTACCTGCGCCGCATCGTTCGGTCGATAACCCCACGCATCGAGTCGGATCGGATGCGCAACAATAAAGCCTTCTCCTCGGCAGAACGTTGTCGGCCCAACCAGAGTCTGGTACTCGCATTCGTCGCGGAGATCGAACTCGCCGCATGGCCAATGTGATGTTCCCAATCCGTGATTTCCCCGCCTGGGAAAAAGGACCGAAAGCGTCGCAACGGCGGCGTCGGTGTCGTCGCGGCGGCGGGTCGTCGTAACGGCAGCGGCGGCGTCGTAACGGCGGCGGCGTCGGTGTCGTAACGGCGGCGGCGGTGTCGTAACGGCGGCGTCGGCGTCGTAACGGCGGCGTCAGCGTCGGCGTCGACGTCGCGCAGATGACGAGGAGGGGGATGAAGAGGAAGAACAGGATGTGGAACAATAGTGTTTTCATGACGCACAATCTCTGAAAGAGCTTCGCATCCTCCTCAGTGTCAGGCTTCCAGCCCTTCTGCGTAAAAGGACGGGCGTGGTACCGCATCACGTTGTGCTCAAACCCGATGCCCCCCACCACCATAACATGATCGGATTTCAATGCCTGCGGGGTATTGGGAGAGACGTGCGTGTGATCCAGAACGTGCCAAGTAGCGTGCCCCCCATCGAGAGGAAGGCCCAGATAATCGATTTGAGATTCGTTTCCCCTTGTATTCCTCCATGTCACTGGGCTGCTTTGCAGGTTTCGATCACAGGCCTCAGCGAAAGTGTTTACGAGCACAGTGCGCCTGGCCAACAAGAAACGACATAGACGAGCGATCTTGGTCTTGGAGTGCCCTGCGTGTGCTTCAGAGACCCAGGACCCCGTCAGGTCAGGTATGTTTCCAGGTAGAGTCAAATTAGCGTCTAAACCAATAACCCATCGTTTGACTGGCGGGTTTGTGCGTTCCCATTTGGCACATTCCCCCTCCGCTCCCTCCAACGTGTCCTCCCAATAATCGTTCGCGCTGGGATTGTTCCCAGGAGCTAAATGCATACTAATGTATCCGCACTCACCACACTGCAACATGCATAAATACTTGTCGGAAAAGCGCCGATGTATCAGGTCTCGCCAGCTTCCCGGGACTGCGATGGCGCAGTCCTCCCCCTTCTGCGAGCGGAGCGCATAGCCGGAGAACTCCCCGTCCTCCCACTTCGGCACCTCTTGCAGCAGCATCGCGACCTGTTTCCGCACGCTCTTCCGGACCTTCTTGAAGAAGGCCGCCCTAGTAGAAGCAGCTTTGCGCCTCAAATTCGCAGTCAGAGCCCACAATTCTGTGAGCTCTTGGAGTTTAGGCTCCACTCGGCACCCCTACTTCCTCATCAGCAAGACAAGGCGTTCCTTGCTCCACCCCAGGGTCTGTAGCACCTCCGTGTCCCAGACCACCGAGGCGTTCGCGTCCACTCCAGCGATCCTGTGAGAGGTCCCATCCAACTTGCCCACTTCGACAGACAGAGACTTCTGCCAATCTTCCTTGACCACGTAGCCGTCCATCTTCGCCTGCGCCTGGATCGCGTCCACCAGGGAGCCGTACGTGCGGTAGCGCATCATCCTGATAGGGTGCTGCTCGGCGTTGATCTTCGGCCACAGCTCCACCCCCGCAGTCGTGCGGATGGCCAGGTTCTGGCTGGTCATCGTCTCGCGCATGGCGTCTTTGATGCTCTCCACGTGGGCCGGGTTTACGGGGATCTCTACTTTGTAGATGTCCTCCGTGGTCCTCGCCTTGAGGCCACCGAGCTCTGAAGCTTGAGTCCCAAGGTGCGTCTTGATGGAGTTCACCCAGTTGCGGACAGCCGTGAAGTTGACCTTGTGGGTGTCCTTGTCTTTGAACTCACAAATCTTTATGACGATATTCGAAGGCTTCCAGTCTCCAGTAGATGACCCACCACCGGCGCTCGAGGCAGAATCGGCGAACTGCTTCTCGAGCTTGGTCACCCTGGACTCCAAGGCCTTCGCCGAATCTTCTATAGCCGTGAAGCGTGGTTCATTCTGCTGGGTCACCCGCTCCACGAGCGCGTCCATGGAGGCATGCACTCGGTTGGTGTAGAGATCGAGGATCGCCTTCGTCCCAGACGGCAGGGAAGCCAACGCTGCGGCCTCCTCTTCCTGTACCTTGCGCATGGCCTCGGTCATCGCCTTCTTGGCCTCTGGGCCCTGGGTCTCCGACATGAGTGCGACTGGAGCGGAAAGCGAGTAGGGAAGTCAAGTAAAAAAAAAAGTAAAAGTGGAAGGTTAACTAGAAAACTCAACAGCGCTGCCTGGCTCAGCACCCTTCCCTGGCCAAGCCTTGAGCCAAAGGCGCCCTTGAGCCAAAATGGCTACGGCTCAAGGGCGCCTTTGGCGACGACAACAAAATCGATGACGACGAGGACGAGAACGACGAGCATGACGACGACGATGGCGGCGGCGGCAACGACATGAATGATGACGACAAAAGTGTTTGAACATGGTCGACTCTGCTCAGGCCTCTGTTTGGACGCCCGAAGTGGGTACGGAAAAAATGGGTACAATGCCCAACAGCAAATAGTCCAAAATCGACAGCGGCCGCAGTTGGGCAGGCGGCTTTTTGTCTTAAATGGACAACGTCCGCGGCGGCGTGGACAGCAAATCCTGTCCAAAATGAACAGGAACTGTGATTGGGCATCGTACCCATTCTTTCCGTACCCATTTCGATCGTCCCGACTCTGGCGGCCTCAAAATGCTACGTGGACCTCTAGATACCACCAGATCTTTAAGTCACCGCCAGCCAGCCTCGTCAGGGGTTAGACCCCATACAATATTTGAGACGAGAAGCTCGCCTTGTAGATGCGCGTGTCCTTAAAACTCTTGAAAACAGCCGCCCGGATGTCCGAGACCTCTCTGGCAGATGGCAAGCCCGAGGGGACCCCAAAAACCCCTGTGGTCCGAGAAACCCCCAGGTCCGCCCAAGAGGACCCGGAGAGGAGCCGCAAGAAGCTCCACAGGGCCTCTAGAGGGCCCCAGACGAACCAAGAGGTTGCTCAAAGAGCCTTACAGGGACCCCCAGAGAGCACCCAAACGCATCTCATGAGGCCCCCAAAACGCCCCAGGAGGCCTCTAGAGGTCCAAGGCCAGATAAAACCAGCACAGCAGACCAACACGAAAGAAGCAATCGTACGGTCAGGCAAAGTATAGACTGTAGATATACAGAGGTCATCAACGTGTCAGGCACCTGGTAGATGCCATGGCGGACGGGACAGTGGCGTCAGCGTATGACCGTGTGTCAGAGGGAGCGGCTTGGCCATGTCCGAGAGCGGGGGCCCGAACGGTCATACTTTCTCCCTCCGCGCGCGTGGCTGGATGGCGGGGCTACACTAGGGGGCTACACGTGGAGGTTACACTTGGGGCCTACACCTCGAGTCGACGCTTGGGGTCTACACGTGGGGGCTACACTTGAAGGCTACACATGGGAGCTACGCTTGAGGGCTACACTTGGGGTTGTTCGCCCGAGCCGCCAACCCCTCACTGTATCCGCAATTGAGGGGTGCGACGTACAGAACAAGCAGAGCACAAGACAAAGAGAAGACTGGTACAGCAAGGCCTGGCAGACGAGAGCACGTACATAGATCGAAAGCAACAGCCAAAGCATCACCACCGCGTGGCTCCCAAGAGATCAGAGACTCTTCCCGGGCACTGCCTTCTCCTGTCGAGTCGCCGTTTGCACGGCAAGGGTTCAGAGTTCGAAGGATGCCTGCAGCCAAGCGGAGAGCATCTCTTCATTTGCGGTGATAACGGGCTTTATGTATGAGGAGGGATGACTGGGGGGCGGGGGGAGGCACAACGTGACGTCCACCCCCCCGCAATGTCTGGGGGGGGGGGCGTTATGTTATGGGGGGGGGGGGTGCAGAACGCGCGTCATTGCTCAGATGGTTTCGTCTTTCCAAAATCAGAAACTCGCGAACCCCAACGAGCGTCAGATACCGCAACGCCGAATGAATCCCCGCAGTGGTGGGCATCGCGGGTGGTCACCATGCCCTGGCGTTGTTCTGTTCACGACGCGTGGGGGTCCGTCTTCCGGGGCCGAGCTCTGGCCTCCAGCGGCCACCCGGAACGAGCCACACACACACACACACCTTGCCATCGCTCGGACGTCCATTCCCCGTGCATGTTTCGGTTTCGTGCTTTTTTTTTGCTCGATGGTCCAGGATGGTCCTCGATGGTTCTCGCCGAGAAAGGATGCACACGTCCGAGCGATGCCAAGACACACACACGCACCCGAAGTGAAGGAGTAATTGCAAAAGACTTGTGAGGAAGAGGGGCCTCCGAGGCGGTCCTGCTTTCGGGCCACATCTCCGGCTTCAGGCGGCAGCTCGGGAGGATCCGCACACCCCCAGACGCGTCTCGGCGAGTCGAAGCCAATGGGAAGTACCCCTACTCTTCCTCCTCCTCCTCCTGCTCCTCCTCCTCTTCCCCCTCCTGCTCCATCCTCCTCATCCTCCTCCCCATCCTCCCTCCCGTAGAGGTAGAACAAAACTGCATAAGCATACACGTTAATCCATTATGTTATGTTCTGCTCTGTTCAATATACGTCGTCGCACGCGAATCGTATATCCCAACCCTTAGGTTGAGCATGTCCTCCTACAGGCGGATTTTGGAAGAAATATGAAGCATTTTCAAACAAAAAGTTCAGTGAGCACGACCAATCGTCATCTGCCAAGTTGTACTATTCTTGAATATTCCTCCTGAAGAGGGACATGCCCGACTTAACTCTGACCGACATTGCACAGAGGAGATGGAAGAACAGGCCCGAACTGAACTCTGCTGCCAGGACTTTGGCCAGGAGGGCTGACCGCAGCCGGCCTCATAGTCTTCCTGCCCGGGGTGACAAGGGAGCCCACAAAGGACGTACGCGCCCAGCTATGTAGATGAACACGGCCCCTTGACCCGCGAGACCGGCCGCGTGATACGAACATTCGCGCAATGCGAACTCTCGAAACCAACATGGATTCATGTACGTGTACGTCCTTCTTTTGCTCCTGATTGACACACCTCTCGCTTGCCGGAGGGATAGGAAGCCGTGAGCGCAACCCCAGACGCAGCATCGCCGCCACCTCGCGCAAAGCCCCGTCGGAGCAGGGGCGGAAGTTGACCTCGGCGGGTGCCTCTGCAGCCCTGCGCGTACTGTCGCAATGCGTACAGACCCAAGCGGCCCCGCGGCGCCAGGCCTGGCTCGCCGCGTCGTCGGCCAATCCGTTGAAATCGCGCGAGTCTCAATCAACGTATACGCCGTCTTGTCCTCGGCATCGTGGAGTTGCTGCACATCCGTAAGAAGAAGAGTCTGGATACTCTCACAGAGGACGGTCTCACTCGATCATCACGCACATGTGAATGTCCACGCAGGACTTCGACAAGATATTGGTATCTGTCTGAACCCACACTCTCTGGCCGAAAGGCGTCCACTGCTGTTCCCGCAGATTGGGCTTCCGAAAATTTGTCGGGCCAGTGGGGAACTTTACTGTGCATGGAGGCGGGCGTGGTGGACCAGCGGTTTCGGCCATCGGGAGACCCCATGGTCAGCGGAGCGTCCCAAAGGAGGTCTGGAATTTACCCGTCCACTCCTGCTGGGAAGCGTAGGCGTCTCTGACCACCTGCCAGTCTTGTCCAGCGAGTTCGCCCCAGACAATGGCGCAAGAACACGTTCATATGTCCGCGCGGATGTCTTTGTTGTGTTTGTGTTTGAATATGGTTTGCTTTGTTTTGTTATGTCCATGCGGATTTGTTGGAACTGTGCAGTGTTCGCAACTGTTCCCCAGCGCGCTCTGCGCACCAGGGAAGGGGCGCAGAGGGCGCCGCCGGGAAGGAGTCCAGCGCCGAAAAACTAAATCCGCGCGAACCTCCGATACCCCATCCTCCTAATGACTTCTTTCCTGGACTCAACGCTGGTGTACAGTTCGCACTGTGCTGCCAGCACGGCCCTCTGTGGGGCATGTGAAGCAAGTGGCTGCGGAGGTGGGAAAGCGCTGCTGCAGTCCCGTCCGTCCAGACTCCCATCTCCTCCTCCTCCTCCTCCTCCTCCTCCTCCTCCTCCTCCCCCTCCTCCTCCTCCTCCTCCTCCTCCTCCTCGCTCCTCCTCCTCCTCCTCCTCCTCCTCCCCTCCCCCTCCTCCTCCTCCTCCTCCTCCTCCTCCTCCTCCTCCTCCTCCTCCTCCTCCTCCTCCTCCTCTCCTCCTCCTCCTCCTCTCCTCCTACCTCCTCCTCCTCCTCCTCCTCCTCCTCCTCCTCCTCCTCCTCCTCCTCCTCCTCTCCTCCTCCTCCTCCCTCCTCCTCTCCTCCTCCTCCTCCCTTCCTCCTCCTCGTCCTCCTCCTCCTCCTCCTCCTCCTCCTCCTCCTCCTCCTCCTCCTCCTCCTCCTCCTCCTCCTCCTCCTCCTCCTCCTCCTCCTCCCCTCCTGCCCCTCCCCCTCCGCCTCCCCCTCCCTCCCTACCTCTCTCCCTCCTCCTCCCCCGCGCGCCTCTCCAGCAGCGCCGGGTCCGGGGCTCGGTGCGGGTCTGTGGAGCGGTGCTCGGACGACGAGGCCTGCCCAGTCCCATGCGCCCTTCCTCTCCCCCTCTGGCCCCTCCCACAGGGATGAGGGGGGAGGGGGAAAAGGGGGGGGAGAAGGAGCGGGAGGAGGGAGGATGGAGGGGGAGGAAGGGGAGGAGGGGGAGGGAGGAGGGAGGAGGGAGGAGGTGAAGGGTGGGGGATGGAGAAGCAAGAAGGGGGGCGGGGGAAAGGGCGTGAAAGGAGGATGAGGAAGGAGGGGGAGCAGGAGGAGGAGATAGGAGATAGGAGGAGGAGGAGATAGGAGATAGGAGGAGGAGGAGGAGGAGGAGCAGGAGGAGCAGGAGGAGCAGGAGGAGATGGGAGAGAGGAGACAGGAGGTTGGAGGAGGAGGAGGTACGAGACGGGGGAAGAGAAGCGAGGGAGGGATTCGGGGCCGGCGGTGGGCGGCCGGGGCCGGGAAGGCGCCCTCGGGCACCGCCCAAACGGGGCGGGGAAGAAGATCGCGCGTGCGGGCGAGGCCACTGCATTCATATTGGATACCAGGAGACGAAGAGGAAAAGGGACGAGGAGGAGGAGGAGGAGGAGGAGGAGGAGGAGGAGGAGGAGGAGGAGCTCTCTCTCTCTCTCTCTCTGTTTCTCTCTTCTGGAACGCTCTGAGAGCGTTCCAGGATGCTCTGCAGCGATGCATCCCAATTCTAGCCGCGGAGAGGACACGTGAGCAACAAACTGCCTGACTCAATGTTTCATGCGCTTAGCACATGTCCGTTCGTGGGCGACCCACGCCTCTGGCAGTCATACGGTAAGCATTCTGCAACAATTCAGAAACGTATTGCCAAGCAAGCACAGTCCGTCCATTACTGCTGGCATGTGCGCAAGTAATTCAAGGGGTATGCGTAGATGGCAGCTGAAGATGCTCTGATATGCAGCCCTGCCGCCGACTTGCATGTTTTGCCACACATCTAGGCCCCCGCATTTGCAAGTGATGCTCTCAATGCCAGGGGCTTACACAATCATTTTGCGAAATGCTGGACTAATCACCAACGCGGCAAGCTAAACGACTGCGAAGTGACAGTCGGCACACGCGCTGAACCTGGTCTTGCTCAACCGACTGCGGCGTCGGACGTGCTCGACGTCATAAGCGTCGCGCCGACAACTAAACTGGGGACCGGTCCGAAGGAAGCCTGGCTGCGGGCCCCAGGGCCGTCAAACCGACTTGGGGGGGGGCAGCAAGAACGGCACACGGGAAGGGGTCGAGAGCTCCGAGGGCCCATGTCTGAGGGACCCCTGTTCAAGACCCCTCCTCCCTCCTCCCTCCTCCCTCCTCCCTCCTCCCTCCTCCCTCCTCCCTCCTCCCGCCCCCTCGAGGCCGTTTGCATTTAGATTCCGGCAAAGCTGCTTGCATGGGAGGAGAGGAGAGGAAGGCATGGCGCGGCCCGAACGAAAATCTGGACTTCGCGCAAGTCGGGCCTCACTTGAACGCCTGTTCGGCCCAGCGCTTTTTCGGAAAGGCGGCGGAGGGGCTAATGGAGGGATGGGGGGGAAGAGATCCCATGCAAGTCCTCTCACCTGGGGCCCAAGAGGAGCAAACTGACATCTCCAAGAGGCCCCCAAGCGACCCCCAAGAGGCCCCCGAGAGACCCCCAACAAGCTTCAAAAAAGCCCACAAGATGCCCCCAGAGAGCCCTCCAAGAGTCCCCTGAGAGGCATCCCATCAGAACCTCATATGCGTCCCCGAGGCGCCTGACCCGCAGGCCAGGCACGGTGGCACGACTCTTGACGAACTCACTCTTACCCATTGGTCGGAGGAGGTAGGTAGAAACATGAAGTAGAAGGCGTTGAAAGTAGATTGGGCACCCGCCGTCCCCTAAAGAGGACGGAAAAGGTGAAGCCACTCGATCATTGAGGGAAGGCGCTCAAAGTGGATTGGAATATGGGAATCCGAATCAGCCAGCGTTGACTCCAGATAGATTAAACGACTCAAATCAAGGAATCACAGGAATCGAGCATGCTTGGAATCCGCAACTCAGCAAGCAAGCGTGCAAGCAAGCGCGCAAGCAAGCAAGCAAGCGTGCAAGCAAGCAAGCAAGCAAGCATAAATGAGGGGGCGCCATTGGAAAAAGGGGGGGGAAAGGCATGGGCAGAATGCATAGCCATAGGAATTAGGGGGGGGGCGTAGGAATGAGGGGGGGGGGGCACCAGACCAATTAGTAGGGTTTGAGCTGGGACTCCTATGGGGCAAGCCTATGTGGAGACAAAATACCCTATGTACTTTCAGCGACCGATGGGTACCGGGGGGCCCGCGGAACGGCGCAGGCCTCTTGCAGAACCTCACCCGAATCCGGAGAAACACAGCCCCCCCCCCGCCGGGGCATCGTCGCCCTGCTCGCCGTCGCCCTCCTCGCCCTCCTCGCCCTCGCCCTCGCCCTCGCCCTCGTCCTCCTCCGCGTCGGAGTCGTAGCCCGGGACGTTGCGCCAGAGAAGCCTGGGCGGGATGAGAATGATGATGATAATGATGGTGATGATGATGACGATGATGATGATGATGATGATGCTGCTGATTGTGCTGAGGATGGTATTGGCGGCGGTGGTGGTTGTTAGCCGATTGATAACAAATGACTAAATAACACAAGAAATACCTAAAAAGGAAAATTTATTTAAAAATATAATATAGGTAATAAGAATTACAATGATGATAATGATGGTAATCCAAATAATGCTAAGAATTTCTATGACAAAAACAGTATTAGCAATAAGACTACGAATGGACATCATAATACTAATACCAATGAGAATAGCAATACGAATAGCGACAAAAAAAGTAATGACTCGAATGATGGAAATACTAAGGCTACTCATGATTAAAATCACCATCATCAGCATACGCATCATCGTCGTCATCATCAGCGTAGCAATAACCAATATATATATAGAGAGAGAGAGAGTAATGGTATACATAATGATAACAATGATGATGAGGGGAGGAGGAGGAGGAGGAGGAGGAGGATGTTGCTGATGATGGCGATGGCGATGGCGATGGCGATGGCGATGATGATGATGATGATGCTGGTGCTGATGATCATGATGGTGATGATGATGATGATGATGGTGGTGGTGATGGTGGTGATGATGATGATGATGGGGAAAAGACGGGATGGGGTACAAGAAATCTGCGCGGACCTACGAATGTCTGTTTATGAACAATATCTTCTTCGAACCACCCGTCGGTTCGAGCGTCTGCCATGAGTGGCACATTTGCCGCGGTACAATGCAACCCACTGGGGAGTGCCCTCACCGCGCACTCAACTGGCACCAAGACTCAGCACAGGCACGCCGCGTGTGCTTGTTTGACTCCTCGTAGCGACACTGCTGGGCGTTGCCCAGCTTCAGCCTGCACGAGGAAGCTAGAAAAGGTACAAGTTGAAGCGTGAAAACAGAAGTGGCCAGGGCTGAAAAACCCGGCAGGGGCTGAAGCGAGCCCGAACTAGTTAGGGTGAGACCGACGGGGCCGCAAAAAAAAATGCAGGGAAACTGTCCAGGGCTGAAAAGAATGAAGAGCTGGCGCGGCAGAGAAGGGTCCACAGGATCCTCGAGGGCCGTCACCCCACTGTCCCGAATGCTTTGCTCTAGTGATGTGCAGAGCGAGGGGTGGACCCTGCTTGGCCACCGAGCACTGCGCTTCGCAGAGAAAAAAACATACCATCACAAGCATCACGCCTGTTTCAGGGGTCGCCTGGAGATCCGCATTGCCCTGCTATCGCAGCGCACGCAAACACTGCTGGTGCTCCGCTGAGAAGCCAGCGGCTGCGGCAAGCTGCTTGAGATCGGAATCTTTCACGCTGCCCAAGCCGTCGGCAACATCGTCGGGAGCAGCACAATGCACTGACTACCTACCAGACCCCCCCAGCCTAACCGGAAAACCCCGATTTCGGGTTAGGGGGGGTGCGGGCTCCATCTGTGTTTTTTCCAATGTTCCCCGACGCCCCCCCCCCCCTCCACGCCCCGTGAGTGGAAGGCAAATTGGGGCCTTCGACTTGGGTTGGGGTGGTTCGGTGGGCGGTGATGTACGCCGCACAAATCCCGCAGCCTGCTGCAGCCCAGCTCCATGCGCCGCACTGCGACAACCGCCGCAAGAGGTACGGCCTCCATTTGTCGGCACCGCTGGCAGACGCGAGCGCGCGCCTGATGGCAGGCGGGGCACGCGAAAGCTGCGGCACGCAAAAGTGCGGGCGGAAGAGAAGACGGCGGCCGCACAGACGGCAGGAGGAAGGAACCTCGACCGAAGAGGACGCACGAGTACATTGCGGACGCGGCCGCAAGAAACCCTCGCAACAAACCCAGCCCTGAAAACTTGCTCGGGGAGGAAATGCAGAGCACACTGGACGCAGCAGCTTCTTTGGCGGCCGCGGGAAGGCACCGCGCAGCCCGCGGAGCGATGAAATCCAGGACACCCTCACGGAAAGGAGGTGGTTTCTTGATGCGCATCCCCACTCTACGCTGTTTTCCGTCGCGGCGCGGCAAACGATCCGCTCGCGCGTCCAAGCAACCCGGGCTACGGCGTTGAGAATTGTCCCGCATGCAAGGGAGGGTGGGAAACGAAAGAAGGAGGCGGTCGCAGAGTACGCACGTGTCGTCAAGAAGCTGTGCCAGTATGCTTCCACCGCTCGGGTCCTGCCGATCCGAGGGTTGCCTCCCTCCGAGCAGCTCAATGCTGAAGACGAAGACGTCCGCTGCCATCTTGCAGCATACTTGCACATGGCGACTGCAACTGAATGTCTTGCGCGTGTGCTGGACCTCGCCCCCGCGACCCTCGAAGCATGCGCGCCGGCAGCTCAGCGCAGCGCATATCCTTCACCACTTTGACAAGGCGGACCTGGTTTCGGTCAGATGCGCGGTCAAGTCGACCATTACTCCACACCGGCGCACGAGGGGCACTGGTGCACAGTAGCCACGAAGAGCCTCCTGCAATGTTAAACAGGCCCCGCGGGGAGCTGAGCTGCAGCACCCACCTCGGCAGAAGTTGCGACAGGCTGTCC